GGTGCTCTTGCCCCTCATGGGTTTCAGTTTTTGTTTGACCGTCCACTTGATGTGGATTTGTTTTGTATGACTGATTGTGGAGGGGTTTGCTACCCTAGACAGTAATGTTTTATTTTTATTCCATCTTATTTACCAAAAAAAAAAAAAAGAAAAGAAGAAGTTATAATTATAAATTTATAATGTCATTTGTTCTTTTAATGAGTCATAATTAAGTAGTTAATTAAAGTTGAAAATCCTATCTGTTAAAGCCCTGTACTAATCTTAAACAAAGAATCCGAATGGCAACTCATTTAAGTCAGGAGCGGATAAGAGCTACATGCTATGCACAAAAAGGTTACAGAAGAAATGAAAACGAAAACTGTAACACTGGCATTATTTTCTTATTGTACCAACAGCAGCAACAACAGGAGAAAGCCCCAAACGCTGGCAACACAACAAATTGAAAAAATGAGCAAAATTGAAAATATTTTCTTTTCTCCTGTTTTCTTTCTTTGCCTCTACAACATGCCTAAAATGAAATTTACTCACATGCACTACCAACCCACTCCAATGCCAAGTACCGGTAGCAATAAATTCGGTACAAGCATTTAATTTTATAAACCACTCAAGCTGCAATGCTTCCTGAAGAATGAAAATCCATCTTTGTTTTATTTTGTCTTTGTTTTTTTCCTTTTTTTCCTTTTGGCTGTCTTTATAATGTCTTGTTCAAACCTGTATTTTTACAAACACATTAGTATTGCATTAGTCAATGCTAAACAGGCACTTAATTATAACAATTCTGTTTAATAGGGGGAAAAAAATGCAACGATGTTTTGAGGGTTTTCGACGTCAGAAGATAAAAAGACATGCATATGTAAGGAGTATGAGTACCACCACATCTCTGACATAAATCATTCTTATCTTCTTGAACCCTAAATCCCCATTAATTTCTCATCGACAATGCCCCAGAACTTATACCTCCCTTAAACAAAACCCTCTTTGAGTAGATGAGAATTAAAGAGGATCCTGATGTAATGAACATAATTATATACAATTAAGAAAAATAAAGTTGCTTACTCGGAAGTCTATTTATGGAACCATTGACATTTCCAGATATTGGTACAAGTCTTCTTTCATTGCCTAATGATAAAATTTCCCGCTTTCTTTCTGGCCAGTTTGAATTCAATATGCGGGCGAAGTCCTCCACTTCCCTATATGCATTAAATGGTTAAATATATATAGTTGATGACACTTGAACCATAAAGGAATTAAAGGAAAAAAGAAGAATAAAAGCACATGGATACAAGGAAGGTGTTTGTATTCCCTTGGAACAACAAAATTCAAGGAAGTTCTAGAATCAGGAAAATTTTCTGTCAAAAAATTAAACTGCTATTGTTGTCCTGAGGCCACAGATCAGTGACACTCCTGACAGTTCCTAAAAATCTAGAAACAATATGGCCTCCACATCAGAGTATAAAAAATTGTTAAATTATTGAATAAACTAGTTAAACTAGGATGCACAAACATGCACAACTAACCTGTCAAGTTGCTCTTTCATTGCAGGATCTAAACCATCATCACTATCGCTCTCATCAAACAAAGAATCGAAAGAGTCATGCAACTTTGAAGTTTCACTGGGAGTTGGCACTAAAATGTGATCAATGTTGCCCTCATTGCTAGCAACACAAGCAGCATTCAACTCCTAAAAATAAGCAGAAATTAACAATTACAAACCATCCTCCTCTCTTTCAGAATAAAATGATAATTACGACTATAGAAAAAAAAAATGAATGATTGTGATTGCTGCTGACAGAAGAGTGCAAATATGCAGGACTTGCAAGCATGAAGGCATGTTTCATACAGAGAGAGAGAGAGAGAGAGAGAGAGAGAGAGAGAGAGAGAGACAAACATCTGAATTACTAGAAGTAGAGTCCTTTGCTTGCTCTTTTCTTCTCCTGTTTTTCTTTTTATTCTTCATTGTTCTAACTCCTTTGGTGTCTGTGATGCAGAATAACAGGCTATTTAGATGTCTATAACTAAAATTACAAGCCATAGATTCTGGAAAATTAAGAAAATAAATGCAGAGAATACATGTCTAAAACTTACCCTTACCACCTCCATTTATAAATGATAATAGATCATCAACTGACCGTTCATCCACGTGCTCCTCCTCAACCCAATTGTCCTGAGAAATACGAAAAATCAATTTGCTTATAATGCAATTATCACAGGTTCAAGTGCTTCAATGGCAGAGTTGAAAAATACAACATACATTATTTTACACAATCCAGAATATACACATACCAGGGTCCAGGAAACATACAAAAAGGAATTAAATGCATTTAGAAAGAGGCAAAAAGGCAACTACCTTTGGTTTGTCTCTCTCTTTCAATTCTTTCCGTTTTTTAGCATATAATCTATTCAAACGACGGATACGCGGATCATCAGTTATGTTTCTGAGAGGTTCCAACTTCTCCTCCTGGAATGAACAAATATACATGAAAACAAGAAATGCAGACTAAACATTCAAGATTGAACACAATGAATTCTTGCTAGCCACACACCTCTGTGAGGTCATCAGCTAAATGAAATGTGTCCCGTATCTCCTCAGATGTTTTTCCTTCAATTATTCTAGCAAGTGCACGACATGTGAGATCAACTAAAGGCTTAAATTTTAGGCTGTAAGCAGCAGATGTCAACTCACACAATCTTTGTGTATCCATTCGAATAAACCTCTCATCATAAGTTTTACGCTCCTATAGAAGAACCAAAAAGGAGTTCAAATAAAGTCTAAAAGCAATTAACTTATGTATCAGCATTGATTGCAGATCCAGTAAGGAGTATCATTCATAATAGCACATGAATCTACTGGGAAAATAATAAGTATTTATCAAACCTTATTAGATCGGCCAGGTACTTGATGAAACCGGCAGTAATCAAGTATCAATCCCAACATAGCAGGATTTACACGTTCTGGAAGCAATATAGGATAGTTTTTTGAAGATCCCATGCCTTTTTGGAGAAATTCTCGGCAAATAACAGGGCAAAACATTGCAACCTCTTCTTCTACTTGTTGTATTGAACCATCAGTGGTTTGAAGCCAGATGTAAGACTTCATCTTAAAATAAAACAACAGTAAAAACAAGGCTTCAAATTAAAGGCAGGAAAAGGATACAATAATACATATGCAATTAATATCCATGTGGTACATTTCAAAAGAGTAGAAACCAGTCATAGTGGATAAAAAATCCCAAAATGATTATATCACAAACCTTGGGTTTGACAACTGCTAGAACACCTTTTGACATTTGATGATAGACACAGCAGATAACTTGTTACTAGCAACTTGTGCAACTCTGTCCAGCTGTTGACCCTTATCGGTTTAAAAATGAGTAAGTAATAAAGACAATGAAAGCTTCCTCCTCATCAAATGGTTAACCTTGTTAGATGGATACAAAGTCACTATGAATGCTTCCCAAACTGACACTAGCTTAAATCCCAATAACAAGAAGACCAGCATGCTTATGAGTAACACCTCTTGAAATTTCACAGCCCTACCTAGCGGGAAAGCGTAAAATGATGGACAATGCACCGCCAAAACCTATGCCTGAATGAACAGATAAATCCCATCGTTAAGTAAAATGATGAAAGCTTAAATAATTATGAATATTCCTACAAAAAAATTGTCATTAACAATATGAAACTTTAATTCAGGAAAGAAATAAATCCAAGAATTCATGATAAAATGGTGGATACAATAAGTATACAAAAAGAAATGCACACTTAAAACATTAAGAATGATTGAAGATTAGAATTTAGGATAAAAAACAAAGGGATGGGATGACGAGCAAATGAAGGGTACAGTTTTTCACCTGTCAAATTTAATCAGACACAGATAAATTAGGAGAATATCCCCTTTTGTCATTTTTACTTTCCATCTTTGACTTCTCCCACTTTTCATTTCCTAAAAAATTCTACAAAATTCACTTTTATGCAATTATTTCACTAGAGTAAAACCTCTCTAATCTCAGAAATAATAGCATCCCTTATCCCTTCATTTATTCTACTCCCCCATGTAGTTATTAAGCAGAATGCAGCCTTCCATTCGACATGCATCTCAGCAGACAATATACCACAAGTTATAAAAAAACATCACCAGACAATGCCCAACATTATAAGTTTCTCTCTCTCCCTTGCGCTGTTTTCAGTGGATGGCATGGGGTTTTGGGGAACTTTAAAAAACAAGTAGTGTCTTTATAGTGTGAACAGAAATGACTAACCTTGATTGCACAAGTCAACTTACAGAAGAAAACTCATTTAGATATAATCAAATGAACCATACAACACCACTACCCTAGACCTCTATTCACAGCTACACATCAAGAAAGGAGAAAATTTTCTTCATACCATTAATCATTTCCAGAGTAACATGAATCACCATCCAATATTCAAACAGAAAATAGCTACTTTCCAACTTTTTCCGAGAACACAATCTCCAAATCCAAAGATGAAGAGCACATAATTTTTTTCTAATATATAATACTTTGATTTAAACAGGGTATCTATTTGAATAAATATCAGATCCAAAACCCTAGTATTGAATATGACATTCAACTATTAATACTGAATATGAACAATTACAACATCAAATTAAACAAAAAAAAGAAGAAGAAGATAATTTCAGTTCTTCCAGTGCTCTTCTTCATGAACAGAAGAAGGTTGCCAACAATCAAAACTCAAATTATGTATCAAATACACTCTTTCGGTACAGCTATATCTAAGATCTTTTACGATTCAGGAACCAATCCTTCCCTGAGCAATATCGAACCAAACATGAAATGAATTCAAATCATTTGCCTCACATTCCCAGGAACCAAACAGAACAAGAACTGGACTAAGGTTTCAAATTTCTATGCTTATGAATCATTTCCGGTCAAAACGAGGTAAATTCAGGATAATTTAATCCAATAATATCCGTTAATCATACAACCAAATTCATTGTGGAGAGAGAGAGCTGTAGATACCTTGGAGCAACGTCAGCTAGGGTTTTGAAAGAGATTTGAGTTGCTTTGCAGAGAAAATGAGTGACAGTGAAGAATAAGAAGAAGAAGAAGAAGAAGAAGAAGAAGAAATGTTAGGGTTTGCAGAATCTAATCTTGTTGTCTGAACGAGCAACTCCTGATGTTGATTTGCTGTGTCTGAGTGCCGCACGTGGCTCCGGCGAGATGGCACGTGGCGGTAGTTAGGGTTAGGGGGGAAGAAGGAAGTACAAATTGATACTTCAAAGGTTGAGCTAAAGGGATGTTTGTGTCGGACTTGGCCGTTCAAAATAAATAACCTTCTTGAGTCATTTTATACTTTCTTTTCGTCTAATTTAGTTATCTTAATTATTATTATTATTTTTTTAGTTTGTTTCGATTTTTTTATTTAAAAAAAATTTATTAGTTAAATTAAAAAAAAATTAAATGAATATATTTTAAAATTATATTATTTTAATTAATTTTTATTTAAAAATAAGTTATTTTAATTTTTAAATAAAAATTTATTAAAATAATATGATTTTAAATTACTTTTTATTTAGTTTTTTTTTTATAAATTTGATTGATAAATATTAATATCATTTTATATAATAAGTGGATCTTGATAATTTTATGTAATAAGTAGACAATTGAAAATTTTTTTCCCTAGACATATACTTGTGTGTTAAATATTCTTTCAATTGTTATTTATTTGTTATATAAAATTATTAAATTAATTATTAAAAGGTTAGAGTACCGTGATAATTAACAGTTTTATAAGAAAGTAAAGGAATTTTGTATTGGTTCAAATTTTTAAAAGAATTGTCAACTATTTTCAATTAGAAATGTATTTTTTTACTAGAGAAAGGTTTGACAAATTATTGTATAAAAAGTTAATAAATTTTGTTGAGACTTTTTATATTTGGTAAGTATTTCAATATTAAAGAAGTTAAGGAAAGTTACTAAATGGGTTACAGTGGTTCAACAATTAAGGAAATTTATTGAAAAAGTATGATAATAAAATATTATTTATTAAAAATTATGTGAAATGTAAAAACAAGTTTAAAGATCCAACTTTAGCCTTGTTATAGTAATGAGATGTGTAAGCATCACTAAATTCCATTATATAATTAATAACACAAAAGTTTACTAAAAGAAATTTATTTATATATAAATTTTATATATTATATTTATATAAAATTTTAATTATTTACTTTTTTTATTGTTATAGTAATGAGATGTGTAAGCATCACTAA